ATCAGGCAAGAAATATGCGGCATCCAAATTGTAAAGGAAGAAGTAAAATTATCTCTGTTCACAGAATATATGATCTTACATGTAAAAAACTCTAAAGATTCCAGTAAAAAACTAATTCCAGTTAGAACTAATAAATTTAGCAATGTTTCAGGATTTAAAATCAACATACAAAAATCAATCATGCTTCCCTACACTAACAGTGAACAATTTGAAAAGGAAATTAAAACAATCCCATTTACAATAGCATCAAAAAGAAGAAACTACTTAGGAATAAGAAAATACAAACAAAATTTCAACATTGATTTTTCAAAACAATAATCTGGAAACATGACAAGTGAGTGCTTTAAAATTCTGACACGTGACACACTCTAAATAGTTACTGGGAATATACTGAACACAAGAGTCAACTTTAGAAGGTGCTCCTTGTGTGGCATCTGCTGTGACAGTCCCTGCCCTCAAAGAGCTTATGATTCAGTGACAGAAGATGAAATAAATGGAGAGTTGGCAGACTTGCTCTGCAGAGGGCCAGAGAGTAACTATTTTCAGCTTTGTGAGCCCCATGTTCTCTGTGATAACTATTCAACTCCGCCATTGGGGCACAAAAACAGTCACAGACAATACGTAATTGAATGGGCATAGCTGTGTTCCAATAAAACTTTATTTACAAAAAGTGGTGGGCTGGATTTGGCCCATGGACACTGGTTTGCCAACTGGGAACACATGGTTGCTTATACTCGTGTATTTTGAAGAATAAAAATAGTATAGTGTACTTGAATCGACATTTTGTACAGTGATTGCTAACAAATCATCTGTGATAGAACCAGCCTTCTGGGCATAAAGCCAGCACCTCTCACTGCACTTCTAGCTGTTGCACGTCTACCTGGATGTTCTTCTCTAGGAGTTACCTTGTGTCTTATTTTATTTTTTAACATTTTTTTAAATCATAGCAATCATGTATGTATTCCTTCTCAGTAAAAATTCAGAGACTACAGAGGAACCTAAAGCCCTCCTTCATCCCCTTTCCATCTCCCCCAATCCCATTTGCCACCCTCAAGGAAACCGCTGATCTCATTTTGGTGTGTTTCCTTCTGACATTTTTTAATGCTTTTATATACGTAAATACCCTAAAAGAAATACATAATTTCTGCTTTTTAGAAATAATTACATTATACCATATGGCAATACTCTTATAACTTACTTTTTTCCCTCAATGATAGGTCTTGTAAATTGTTCCACATCAGAATCTATAGAGCTGCCTCATTCTTTCAATTTAGTGCAGAATATTTCATAGGTTGGATATGCCGTGTTTCATATAACGATTCCAATATTGCTGAACATTTAGATTGTTTCCATTTTTTGTCTTTACATATAATACTTCAGTGGACATCCTGTCCAAGGACACATATGCCTTGCACCTCTATGGGAGTGTTTCTCTAGGTAATACCATGACGTGGAGTTACCAGCTGTTAGGGTGGGTACATTTACAATTGTAATAGACAGTGCCAAGTGGCCTGTCATGCGATTATGTTAATTTAAGCTCCCACCAGCAGTATCACTATCTGCACACCCATTGCCTGGCATTTTAATACTCAAAAAATGAATAACTTTTAAAAATTCTTAATTATGTGTGTTTTTAAACCTTCAGGGCATCATGGCTTCCTGTGGCCTGGTTTGAATGTCCCTCTTATGAGAAATGGAGCTGTGCAGACCATTGCCCAGAGAAGCAAGGAAGAGCAGGAGAAGGCGGAGGCTGATATGGTCCAGCAGAGAGAGGAGTGGGACCGGAAGATGAAGGTTAAGCGATAGCGAGGAGGGAGGGGAAACACATGGGGAGGTGTCAGTCTTGGTGCCCCAGACCCTGGTCCCAATGGAGGTATCAGAGTCCTGGTGTTGCTTACCTTTGTGACAGAGAGATTACTTGTAATTCTAGAATTCTTTATTATGATTTTATTTACTTGTCTGGTTAGATTACGTTTTCCCAAAAAAGGATTTGAGGATCATTGATATAACTCCACATCATTATCCAACTGTATTTTAGGAACACATGAGGCCCATAACCAAGAAGATTCCACAAACAAGATGCAAAGCACTGGGTTCTGGCATCTTTATTGTGTAGCTTCTCAGAGCCTTAATGTGGTGGTGTGCATTGTGGATCTACACAAGCCACCTACAGGATGCAGTTTCCCGAACACAGTTGGTCAGGGGGTGTGTATGGAGCAGCATAGCTCGGGAGTGCTGTTCCATAACAGAAGATAAACCGACTGGATAGTTGTCATTAAGCCTCATAAAAGCACACATGAAATAACAATTGATGATGCTTATCAGGCCAAATTAGAAAACAAAGTCCTCTCCTCTCTCCAAGTACATTAAAAAAGTAAAAATCATCTGAAAAATTCATTCTTGTCACTGAGTAGGAGATGAAGAGACAGACAAGAGTTTGGCTGCTTCCTTAACTTTGGCTTAAAGAGGAGAGTTTGAGATGGAGAGACCTAGGCAACATGCTTAAAACTGAGCAAAATGTTTCCACTGGAAGGATGAAGATATGGGAGGGAGAGAATAAAAACCCATAAACTCAGTCCCTAATGAGGCCCCAGATCCAGAGTGCAGATAAATGGATTAACTCCCGACAGAAGAAAGGGCAGAGTGCAGATTCAGGTGAGCCTGTGTTGTTGGTAAAGGAAATGTGGTGGGTGGGAGGGCCTGGTATGTGAGTGGTATCACTCTGGTGAAGAGGAGGTTGGGTCATCTACTGAAAGTAGGATGGCAGCATTGATGAGCATGGACAACAGAATATTTTGATAAAAATGTAGGGTATCTGGGACTGGCTTCAAAATTATCTAGGGGAGTGGCAGTTGGACAGAGTTTAGAGGAAAGAAGATTGGCCATGAGTTGATAATTGCTGAAGCTGGCTAATGGGTACATAAGCTTTCATCTAGCTGTTCTCTCTATTTTCGTCTATGATTGAAATTTTATATAGTAAAAAGTTAATAAAAATAAAAGATCACAGAGAGTGCTTGAAATGGCTTCTGTGGTGAGTGGAGAGAGACCTAACTAAAGGACATGAAAGGCCAACACACAGAAGGGAGGACTCACCTGAGTTGGAGACCATGGATTTTCAGTGGCCCAAGTGTGTACTCTGCTTTGACTTCTCTCCAGCAGCACCCAGCAGGCCAGGTGTGGCAGACAGCTGCATGGATTCAGGCCTGGATAGTGTGGTGGAGAGAGAAAAGGGGGAGAGAGTTGGGGACATTCACAAGATCTGGTGGAGGTGATGGATTGTGGTGTCCTGGCTGAGTGGGAGAGGCTGTGAAGAGCAGAGGGGGTGAGAGGGAAGGGGAAAACAGGGTCAAGTGTCTGGAGGTGCTGGGAAGCTCCAAGAACAATTGTCTTGGGAGTCGTCGAGTGCGCGAGCTGGAGGGTTAGGAGGATGCAGTCAGGGAGATGGTGGCCGAGCTGATGAAGTCAGTGGTGGAGCAGTCTCTGGAGATGGTAGAGGACCAGGGCGTGGCCTTGGGAGCGGCACCAAAAGATCTGAGATTCTTTCTCACTTAAAAGTCGGTGATGGAGCCTGTGTTGAAAAGTGCTTTCACACACTAACTGTACAGACACATTTACCTGTATGCCTGTTTCTTCTCTCCCTGCAGAAACATATGACAATTTTGATACCAGGATTCTTGAGGTAGGCGTGCTGCATTAAATACCCAGTTAAGCCTTTGGAGAAGTTGGGGTGGGTGGAGTGGGGATAGGGCAAGAGGAACTGTGAGGGAAAGCTTTGATGCATGACTTTTTCTAGACACAGAGCTGATTTGAGTAAGTAAATAATGGAACTTGAATGTCAGTGACTTGATATTGGCTTTCCTGTCTGCCCCCCTTTGTGGGGGCTACCAGTTGAGGTCCCAGGACAAGGCAACTTCAGTGGCATTGTTAGTAACAGAATTTGGAGATTACCTTTGAATTTCCTCCTTACTAAAGCTAAGGTAGCATTAGCAATCTGTCCTTGAATTATACACCAGCTGTATGTGGCACTCAATTCAGGGAGCAGAGCCTGAGAGGAGCCCTGGGGCAGGGGTAGGAAGCTTGGAGTTGCTGTGAATGTCCAGCTCTTGATGGGAAATGACCTGCTGGGCTGCTTGCAGGCACTTGAAACTGAAGCCTGTATCAGGTGAATTTCAGTCACTCTCTCCAGGACATTCCCTAAAAGAGTCAACTTCCCTTTGAGCTAGTGCTGCACACTGGGTGTTAAATACCGTAAGGAATGACCATTTATTGAGTTCGTGATTGAGTATGTATATTGTTTCTTCAATGTCAGTTGCATCATAGAATTTAACATCTGGTCACCAGTGTTTTATGTCTTTGGTCCCAGTGTGTACCTTTTGGAAGTAAATCTCTTTGAAGCATCCTGTGTGTGTGGTGGTTTCCTGTCAGGTCGTCCACAGGGTGGACGGGAGCTCCCGTTTCCTTTAACCCATTTTATGGGAAAGGGGCTGCCGGGTGAGCAGTTTAGTTCACAGTTTCATAGTTCCTGCCCTTTCAAATATGCCTCCAAAATGCAGATTTTCCTGTAGTTCATAACAAGCAGATATTTCCAGATTTCTATTCTCAGTTGAGCCTAGTCCTAAGCATGGAGATCCAGTCCTATGCTAATTCTTTCTATATACTGCATTTGTCATTTCTATGATGCACATTTTTTCATATTTTAACATCTCTGATATTGGGTATGTCTTATAGTCAATCAGTTATAAACCATGTCAAAGTATAATCAGCAACTTTTTTTTCTTTCTTGCGGTACGTTCGTTAAAATAGGGTATGTTGAGTTGTACAGTTTCAGGTCCCTTTAAAAGTTACCTCAGTGGAACCTTCTAACAACCCTGTGAAATAGGAGGAGAAATTCTTGTTTCCTTTTTGCTCTTTAGGAAACAGTCCTGAGAGAGGTTCCTTTGGAGAAAGTTTGCTCGTGGACTTGGAGGATGATGTACGATTCAGCACGTGTGCGTGTGTAAGGAGGTCACCCCACTTCCCTACTCCAGAATGTTATTAAGGTGTAATATTCATGAAACACTTTGTCTTTTAGGTCAGAAATGTTTTCAATATGACAGCAGAAGAGGGAAGGAAGAAATCAGTCCGCGTCCTGGTCGCTGTGGGGAACGGCCGAGGAGCCGCAGGTGAACGGGGTGTGATGGTCACGCGGTGCTGGTGGTGGTGGCAGAGGACAGGCGTGGCCGGGCTCGGCTGTGGGGGGTCTGCGGGTTCATGCTGCAGCCAGACATTTCCTCCTGATTAAATCTGTTAGTGGTTTGGTCTCACAAGCCTTGTGGTAAACCCGGGAAATCCCTTAGAGGGAAAAGATCTTCCAACATTTGCCTTTGCCTTTGAGGACAATGGATATTTAAAAAAGCTCAAGACACTATTGTATTATGTTTAAAAGTGAAAAATTAGGGTGGAAAAACAGTAAATATTCAACAATAGGGACATACAGAAAGAGTATAGCCACACATTGTAATGTTCTGTAGCCATTAAAAAACTATGGAAAATCACAAAATAATGCTAAATTAAAAAAAATTTCATGTAAGACTATAATATGATCCCAATTTTTGTTTTTTAAAAAAAGTATGTTTCTATGGGAAAAAAAGATATGCAATGAAAAGGTTAATAATGTTTACTCTAATTAGTAGTTTTGCCAATCATGTGCATTTTCTTCTTTATACTTTTCTATAAAGCTTTCATAGTGAACCTCTATTTGTGAAATGTATACTTGAATGTGTAAGAGAAAGAAAGCTGGAAAACTGTCCATTTAATCCATACTGACACTTCCAACACAAGAACTAGGTCTAGATAGTATTTGCCAAGAAAACCACTCTTAACAGTTACTTTTGTATCTTTCTAAGAATTCTGTATTCATATATCACCATATATCTTTTAAAATATTGACACAAAGGAATCATATCATATCCATAATTCAGCACCTTGCTTTTCTTCCTTAGTGTTATGCCCAGAGATCTTCCTGTATTAGCAGAAACAGATTCCCCGCATTCTTTGTACTGATTGCACAATGCTCCATTGTGTGGATAAACATAATTTTTGTAACCTTTTCACTTTTGCAGAATATTTATGTTGTTTCCAATTTTTTACTGTTTATAAAAATTAATGAGCGTCTTGTACATGTAATTTGTTGTACTTTGGCAAGTATATCGATAGGGGAAGTTTTTTGAGAAATTACTGCCTCAAAGTTCCATGCATTTTAAATGTTGATGAGTACTGCCAGATTGCCCTCCCAAATGTTGCATCAGGTTATGTTCATGTGTACCATCACATCCTTCCTGGCCCAGGACACAATCAAACTGTACTGACTCCATATGATATGGGAAACATATCTATTAGTTCTGATTTGCATTTCTGTAACTATGCAAGTTTGGACACCACTTACATGTTTATTGGCTATTATAATATCCTTTTTGATCTGTTAGTTCACATGTTTTACCCATTTTTCTACTGGATAATTATTCTTCCTTATTGATTGGTATAAGCTCTTTGTAAGTTAAGGACATTAACCTTTTGCCTATTATATTTGACTTAGTTTTTAATTTTTGTTTTTTAACAATTTAACACAAAGTTAAATCCACAGAAATTTTAAACCTTTAAATAGCAAGTTTATCAGTCTTTTATCACTTCTGATTTAGTGTTTTGCTTAGAAAGCCTTCATTTGAAGATTATAAATAAGTTCACGCATATTTTCCTCTAGGACTTATATGGTTTAATTTGTTTTGTTTAAACTAGGGATTGGAATCCTTAGTCCTTTTTGTCTCATGTTCTCAGATGTCTTGCACATCTCATGGAGCAGTATTGTCTTATGTTACTTTCCTGTGTATAATTTAAAAATAAAATATATCCTTCAAAATAAATAATTCATAGTGACAGCAAATAATGAGGCATTTCTGTTAACTTGTGATCAATCACACTTCACAGGGTTAAGCATGTACAAACTCAAGAATCATAGATTTTACTTCATGGTTAATTGAAATCTGAACTGCATTTGAAAGTTCCAGTGAAATTGTGGTTTCACTCTATAGCAGTTTATGTTTATTCCCAACCTTTCTGGTTATTCTAATCTGTTTTCAAAAATGTTCAAAACCATTTAGCTTATTAATTTATAGCATGTTTTTATTGAGTATATTTGGTTTTATTTAGAGATTTATAAAGGTAATGTTATGCATCTAACTTTGGATTTCATAGATATTTTCAAATGTGATAGTTCCCAAATGCCCCAATACAGAGAAGCAAATGTCTGTAGCCTCACGCTTTGTCATTCGTTTTGCACAGCAGGTTTTCTGTGGGCAGAAGAAAAGTGAAGTGCAATGAAATATTGTAGGAGCTGAAACTTAAAATGTGGTGAAAGACATTATGTGCCAAATTTATGCCCTTTTTCATATTTTTGCTTTTCGCTTACAGGTTTTGCCACGGGGAAAGCCACTGAATGGGTGAACGCTTTCAGAAAAGTATGTATGTTTTTCCTTTGTTGACAGTAAAAGATCAATAAGCTATGTGCTAGACACCTCAGATCCACAAAAAAAAAAATAGAAATAAGAACTCTCCCCTGAGGCTCACTCTCAAATGTTACTTATCCCATAAAAAGCAGTTTTAAAAGTGCTTGTATTCTTTTGCATCATTTTTATCAGACTTGTGATTGTGACAATATTAGGAGACAGCTGGGAAAGTTTGAACACTGACAGAAAGTTGAAACATACTGAGGAATTATTGCTAATTTTTGAGGTGATAGTCATATTGTGGTTATGATATTTTTATTAAATCCTTAGCTTTTAGAAGTATATACTGAAATTTTGGTATAAGTTTGAAATTTTCCATAATAAAATGTTTTGTGAAAGGTAATTTTTGAAATCTCTGGGAAAATGTATATTCCAACAACAGATTTAAGAAAAATATTTTCCTGCCTTCAGGCAAAGAACAAAGCAGTTCACTATCTGCATTATATAGAGCAATATGAAGACCATACAAGTAAGTATTAATCTTTTCTTTTAAAATTTGCAGGATTACACTTGTTTCATTACATGAGGCAATGTATCTCTACAGGAATCTTTGTGTTTCTCTGCTTGCTGCTGCGTTCTTTCAAATAAATATATGAAGTGTAGAGACAAACTCTCTCTCCTGAGAAGGTTAGTGATGAGGGAAATCAGAGTCTGTCCTTCGTCCTGGGCCAGTCTGTGCTGGCTGCCTCGGGTGGTATTAGCTGCTTTGTGGTATTTGCAAGGGCATCAAAACTGCACCCCTAATCCTTCTTGTGTTTATGTGTTTTCCCTCCAGTATTCCACAATATTTCTTTAACATCTAAAAGGACACATATCAAGATGAAGAAATAACCCAGAAGTGACTATAAAACCCATATTTGTTGAAGAAAAGGCAGAGAAATCTAACAGTTCCATCCTGTCCTCTATTTTTGCTCACCTTTACTAGGAGTCATTTTGAAAATACCAGAATCGAAAGGCCTAAGTTAGATTGAAGAAGGCTGAGGCTCTCAGGGAAAGAAAAAGTAGTCAACCTACGTGGGCTCTTGTGAGCACATGCGTGTTCCGGGGTAACTCCAAGAGGGAAGAGCACATTATGAAGAGGAAATAGCAGCTGAGTGAGGAGGTGGGCTTGGGTGAGTGGGAACCTTAGTTCCTCCAGGAGACGTCATTGACGCTCTTAGATGGTTCTGTTCTTAGAGCTCATTCGGTTCCAGTCATTTACTCTCATCATCAGGTATTGATTGACTGTCTTCTGCGAGCCAGGTGCTACACTAGGCTGTGTGGATGCAGAGATGGACCTTCCTCCTGTCCTGTGGGAGAGCAGGCAGGCAGGCAGGCAGTGTTCAGGGTCCCGGGGCTGTGGCAGTCATGCCCAGTGGACTCCAAGTGTAGAAATCTTGAACATTCTGGATTGCATTTTGCCTGTGTTTCCACAGTAAAAATATTAATATGTTATATTAATATAACATATATAATATAAAATATTAATACAACATATTAATATTTTAATCATTTCCTAAATTATGTTCTTCTGCATCACTATTTCTAGGAGGAGATATTAACAGGTGTTACTCCAAAAAGGGTGCCAAGTGGGAAAATTGGATTGAGAAAAGCGGAAAAGATGTTTGTATGTGTGTGTGAAGGTCACAGTCTTTAATGCACTAGTGTGCCTCTGAGTTTCCCAGAGGGGGACAGAGAATCCAACGTTCCCAGGCTTACTAACCCTGGGACACTTCTGCCTTGGCTGCAGGACAGTACTTAACTCCTCACGCAGCACTGGGAGCATTTCTTGTATAATACACACACACACACACACACACACAGACATTAATTTGATTTTTATTAAACAAGGGGTTTTTTGGACACAGTCCCTGCCTGGAGGTCTTCACAATCCAAGTACAGTCCAATAATTGCCATAGGACTGTGCCCACTATTATATGGATATTCGTGCATGTGCAAAACAGTGGCTGCCAGTCATGGAGTGTCTCCTGTGGTCCAGGTGCTCTGCAGCACGCAGGCCTCCCCTCAGGAGCTCCCAACCAGCTCTGCTAAGTAGGTGTGGCAGGGAGGGGAGGACCTTGCCCAGGGTCATCCAGCAAGCAGTGGCAGGGGAGAGTCTGCTTCCCAGGCACGTGCCTCTCTCTCCAGTTGTGTGTGCATCTATATACATCTGTGCATGCATGCATGCACAGACACATGTTCTGTATGTGTGTAACTCCACACAAAGAAGAACAAACTGAAATCAAGAATGAAGAAGTTAAAAAATCTTCCCTGGGCTAAACAAAGAGAAAAAAATATATATTGAGATAAACTTTCACTGAGTTTTAACTTCCATTGCCTCATCTGGTTTCCTTTTGATAATAAACCTCTTTCCTTGCCACAAGCCTGGTGTTTGTTATTGGCCCTCCTGGACAGCAGGTAAATGAGCCAGTGTTTGTGTTCAGTAACAATTTGGCAGGCCAGCCAGGAGGCTCTTTGCCTGTGGCTCCATGGCCCTGGACTGACCAGAATTTCCTGGGAAGCAGTCCAGCAGCTGCCTAGGTGATTTGCCCTAGGGACAGTCCGCTATAATTTCAGTCTGACCCAGCACCACTGGTCCTAGGCACATTTTTCTTACAACAAGGAAACAGGCTCTAGATTTG